GCCCCAGGAAGCCCTTCTGCTTCCCTTCTCCAGAGCAAGGCCTCTGGTCCTGGAAGGACACAGACTCCCAGCCACAAATGGCTGTCTTCTCCTCCATGGATTGCTCTGAGCAACAGTCTCCATGGATTTCAAGCCATCCATCCAAGTTGGTGGCCAAAAGGACCCTTTGTGGAGCAGACATCCTTCCTTCCTTCCTTCCTTCCTTCCTTCCTTCCTTCCTTCCTTCCTTCCTTCACAGAGGGAGCTTCTCAGTTCTGCCCAGGAGAAGCCAGGGAGCCCTTCTCAGGCGGCATGGGCAACATTTGGGATCCTTGCCTTTCATATGGCTCCCCAGGGCTGCAGGCAGTGCCAAGGGGTGTGTGTGTGTGTGTGTTTGTGTTTGTGTTTGTGTGTGAGTGTGCCTGCCAGTTGCATGCTGACTTATAGTGATCCCATGAATTTCCTAGGGTTTTCTTAGGCAAGGCAAGGATTACTCAGAGGTGGTTTTGCCAGTTCCTTCCTCTGAAACAGGGCCTCCAACACCTGGGATTCCCTGGTGGTCTCTCTTCCAAGTACTAACCAGAGCCGATCCTGCTTAGCTTCCAAGATCAGACAGGATCTGGTGCCTTTAGTTAGTAGTCACCACAGGGAAACAGCACAGTCAGGAGCAGCATACTGAGAATATCCCTCAACTGCCTGGAGCCAAACCTGAACTCAAACCCAAACCCTAACCCTAACCCTGATTCATCCTGTCATCCCACCTTCTCAGCTGGTTTTAAATTGTCCCAGTTTCTTTCTCCACCTCCCACTTTCCTCCTTTGTCTTCAGCTCACCTCAGCTGCTGCAACATGAGCTCAAAGTGTAAAAGTAGTTTGCACTCCATTAACTCAGGAGAAGGAGAGGAAGCATTGGGATCTTGCCCTCCTTCCCAGTCAGCTCAGGCAAAAGCAAACTGCTGCAGCCTCTCCTCACTTATCTGTTCTTCCTCGTGGATAACTTTCATCATTTTGATGTTTACTGGCTTCATATTGCAGGACATGACCGACAGTGCACCCCAGTGTTCCCCTGTTGCTCCCAATGGCTGCCAATCTCCCTTTCCTGGCCACTTTCTCTTCCTGCCCATCCATCCTAAAGGCACCCACCGGTCCAGAGTCACGGCAGACAGGTTGCCCAGCAGGTGCCCCTCAATGAAGAAGCAGCAACACAAATAATAAGGTACCACCTCTGCCACTATAGTGCTCACTTCTCCGCTTCGCCGACCCATTTATCTGCTTATGGCACTAAGAGAAATAAGAGCAGAAACTGGTATCATTTGGGCCAAAACCAAAACCATGGGCAGAACCCAGACACTCCTGACCATCATTAAGAAGTGTCATTTGGCGCTTATGAAGCCATAATGGCGCTCTTGAGCAAGGGCTTTCTCACCTCTTGGTTTGCGCCGCCTCCCTCTTGGCTCCAGCATTTGGATGGTTTACAACAACGTTCCTTCACAGATCAAATCTCAAGGATGATGTAGGATAGAGACACGATACTTAAAGAGGTCCTAAATTGCTATAGCTGTGTAGTGGAGGCACAATGCAAAAGGGGGAAAGGCTGCCAAGGTTCTTCTCCAGGGATGGCAGGGATTGCCCCTCAGCAAAGGATGGAAGACCTCAGCAAAGGATGGGATGGAGACCCCAGGAGCATGGAGAGAGCATGGCCAGGGGTTACAACCACCCCCATGGACTGGGAAGACCTAATGCCACAATCCTTAGGGCAGGGCTGAACTACAGATACTATCCTTCCTCACCACTGTCTCTTTTGATGGTCAGCTTGATGGGAGTTGTTGTCCAGTCACAGCTGCAGAATTCCCAACCCTGACACATGGGGAACAGGTCCGTACCCACTATGTTGTGGTAGTTTTGTCTCTTAAACCCTTCCCAGATGCCATAGAGAGGATAAAACAGCATCTTTGTGGAAGCGTTTGACTCATAATTGGTGAAGATCCTGTTGTGTAGTAGAACTCTCTACATGCAAAGCTACTCATTGATGGACAACCCAACCCAATGAAAAGTCTGCTTCCACAATTTTGAAATGCATGTGAATGTTACCCATTAAAAATATATACATATGTCCAACTGTTTACATAGGAAAACTTAAGCATGTTTAAGACATCAAAAGAATCCTGCCCATCACAAGGTTGAGAACTGAGGATGCATCCACATGGCAGAAATAATCCGGTGCCACAACAAACTGCAATTCCCAGAATCCCACAGCATGGAGCCATGGCAGTTAAAGCAGTCTCAAACTGGATTATTTCTGCAGTATGTTTAGGACCAAAGTCTGCTATCGGTGTCATGACTTGTTGCATCCGTTTGGTCCCAAAGGATCATCTAAGGTACAAGTCTTCACATCTACTGTTCAGATCTTTTCAGAAGCTGCCTTAGACTTGTAGTGTCTTTTTCCAGCCACCGAACAGGAATTACACTGCCCTTATGCACTCCCCTTACCAGAGGAGTGTCTAGCAGACCAATTTGAATTATAAAAGTAGATGGGGAGCAGCTGACCAGAGTTTCAGGCAGGTAAGAGTGGGATTTCCCAAAGTCAAGAAGCCAGGAATACAACTGGAAACTTTGCACATGCAGAGTAAGGAAGTTCACCCCTGATTTACAGCTTGAGTCTGATTTTCCTTGGCCTTCACCAAGTTTCCATCACCATCAAAAAATCCACTTCCCATCATGTGCAGTATGGAAATAATCATCATAGAGTTGGAAGAGACCCCCAAGGGCCATCTAATCCACCCCCTTGCCATGCAGCAATACACAACTAAAGTACTCCTAAAAGATGTCTATCCAACCTCTGCTTAAAGACCATCAAGGAAGGACAGTCCACCTTCCAAAGATGGCCACAGTGGGGCCTTAGTCTCCACTGGTGTTTGCTTCCAGGACCCCCTGTGGATACCAACTGCCCCATTTTATTTAATAGGACTTGAGCATCCACAGATTTTGGATACACCAGTGGAGACCAAGGGACCATAACAACAACAACAACAACAACAACAACATTCCCATTGTAATTTAATGGGACTTGAGCATCCACAACTCTTCAGGGCTTACTATTGCAAAAGCAGCTGTCCAGCTTTTGCTAGCAATCCACAAAGGCCAAAGGCAAAGTCAGCCTTCTTCAAGCAGACCACTGTCTTAGGAACGACAGCAACCTCGCTCAGCCCAGCAGCCCTGTCAAAACAAATCCATCCCCTCGCCTACAGATGCCATATGAAGCCCATCAGCAGAGCGAGGCTCCAGTGCAATGGCAATACAGCACAACGGAGCAAAACTGGAGCCTGGCACAAATGCAGAAGCACTCAGCCCAAACGGGAGGAAAGTGGCCAATCCCACCCACAGGTGAGCAAAATCCTTTGCCCTTCAGCGCTCCTCTTGGTGCCTCCCAGCGTCTCCTACAATGGCTGGCCATGCCTGCACTGAGTTTTGCCATGGGCGCCAGCGGACAGCCCTGCAGGGTAGTCCTGAGATGATGCATGCCATGGGAACTCCTTGTAGCTGCCTGAGGACTATCTGTTGAAGCAGGGGTATGCAACTTTTTCCC